CATTGGCGATCTAATGATAACATCATGTTCTTGAGTGCCTACTTTCGACTGAAACCCGAGCTAGAACAAAATACCGCGCAATGTCTTACTCGCGGTCGTTTCAACCAAATTAATTTTCGATCACTCCCTAGGTTAATATTTTAAGTCAAACAGCGTTTCACCATACCCAGTGCGTCGCATTTCGGCATCTTGGTGAGGAGTGCCCTAAGGTTAACATAGATCATCGTTTCACACGAACTCATAACGGTTCTTTACAAACGTATTCCTTCACCCTGTCAACGGCTACATTATACTAACGAGTGCATATAGACCAGCAAATGAGAACTTTTGCCAACCCGGTAACTTTATCACAATAATGCGGTACTCTTCCGCAAAGCTCGGTGCAGTGCATCATGCATTGCTGTGCAGATGCTGATGCTAACCTCATCATTAAGGCCGATCAACTGCAGTTAACAGGTAATTCGGCCACACCCACCGAGAACTAACGCATTGTTCCATGATAGCACGTAGTGAATCACTGCACGCATTAATTACTTCACCTAGCCACTACTAACCACAACCGATCACACGTAGACACCGCTAAGTCTAGGTCACACCACGTGAGATTAACGGACCTGCCTGTTAGCTCGCATGCAGCTAGTTTCAGTGAAGGCAATCGATACTGTCTCATTGTAGAGTACATTACATGTCCGGTCGTCTGCACGTAACACTGAGCACCATGAACCCGGATGGCCGCCCACTTCTGTGTTGTGTGTCTTGATGCCGCGTAAGTGAGTGGGTGGAAGTTACAGTACTTGCTCAACCGTCCATAGATGTCGCGTGCTAGTCCGCACCTACCCTACAGTGAATGAGCTCAAGTGTTGTTTTCACGTCCGCTGTGCAACACGTGGTTCGTTGGCTGAGAGCAGTCTAACCGCTGCAGATGTTCTGAGTATTCTTGTACTGATTTGCACTTGGTCAAGACGATGGATTCAACCTGATGTGCTTATGAATTGGGTTGAGTATTCTTAAGGAGGAGCTTGATTCCGTTATGGACTGGCTTGATTCTTAAAAGGTATAGATGTGAGCAATACACAGTAACCACCGGCGATCACACGGGGCCAATCGTTTAATGTCTCCACTGCGAACTGGTCAGGTCTCTGATCTACACAGTAACACAGGCCTTATCGCAGCGTTGTACACCCTACCTTTCACAGATATACGGATATCTCGCCATCGCCATAGATGGCTGAGCTTCTGGAATGCCAAAAGAACCTTGCTGATAAAGGAGATAACTTCCTCAGTGACGTCACCCACAGAGGTGACACAGCTATCAAGGTAAGCGAATCAATGCACTACTTCTAGTGGCTGTTTGATGATAGCTGAACTCAGGGGGCGTATCGGTCAGTTCTGCAGCAGTGCTTTGCACCTTGTAGCTGCAAAGCACATGCCGGGGCGCGCAGCGCTCGGCTTAGGTCTAGTCAATAATGCATGCAATTGTGTCGGACCAAAAGAGAGCTAGGTTGTCCATTTATTCTCGTGAATTTGGGAGGAACACTTGCAAGTAGCTGACCCACACACTTACCAAGTACCCCCAGACCTCAAAAGCTATAACTTCTCAATCTCTTCCAGGCATATAGTCAAGTAAATACATTAATCAACCGTTCACCAAGCTTTCTGTAATGAGTCACCCAATGCGCTACACTTCCCACAGGTAATCACAATTAAGATCATGTCTTGCTTCGAATTAAGCCCAGACAGTATTGTGGCGGAGACGCTTGTATCAGTGCTCGCTCACAACACATGGCCAGACTGACCTTCAGGTAGAAGATGAAGCAAAATTGTAGAGTACAGTGCAGATGAAGCTCAACAAAACAACTGTTGCAATCACCGCGATTGTTGAGGTTTGTGTGGCCCAGAAAAACCGTAACAGTATGGGCCAATAATGCGTAGCACCAAATAGATAAACCATGGAGTTTGATCACGTGATGCATAGTTATGTTGTTAGTTTGCGGGTGATCAGATAACACGAAATGGTTTCATCTCGTAATACCAGTCTTCTCATTGTCTTATTTAGATTGATACAGGGAACTCCGTGCTTTAAACCATGGATGCACTAATTTGCAAAACTAAAGCGAGCAAAAACGGTTTGTTATCTCCAAACTCGGTTTTAGACTCGTTGTTCCCAGAAACACTGGAGGAACGTCACACCGCAATCGCCAGTTGCACCGAAGTGGCCGGTAGTTAAGTAAACTTTACTGAGTCAGTGCAATGAGGGCAGGCAGTGATGTAAGGTAGTAATGCCAAGTACATTTAAGCAATGGACGAGCGGTGCCGACTGTACAATAAACGCCAACCAGCACTGGATGCGAAAGCAGGGATTGCAAGGCGGAGATAAGGAGAATAGTTTAATAAATCAGAAATGGTAGTTAATGAGATCGTAGATTTAACAAGTTGTCTGTAATGGAATGACTGTTGTTCGAATGGGATACAGGGTCACTGGATTCTGTTTCGTGTGAAATTGTGGAGAGTTTGTTGGAAATTGTCTGAGTAACGACGGGGACAGGCGAAGAACATGTGGAGGTGGCCCGAAGAGCTGCTTTGAGATGAGAAAGCTGTCCCTGGGGAGTTAGTAATTTGGTGGATGGAGAACTGGCAAAAGAGGTGAGGCTAACACCTGTGCTCGGACGAGAACCTCCACTCAAACTTACGAGGTTGGAACTACTCGCTAGGAGGCGACGGGCGGCCGGAGAGAGGAGGACACGAGCGGCTGGACTGAAAACACAATCGGCAAGAGAGGAGTCAGTTGAGGATGGCATCCACGCATAAACATGAGTAGGAGATGAAAAATGAGAATAAGGGTAAGTGCAAGCACTATGATAAAGTGACAAGATCAGTCGGGAGAATGCTGAAAAGTAATTGGACTGTGGAATCTTAGCCAGTTCAATGAAACAGTTGTGTAGTATGATTAAAAGATAAGTGCCAGACAGACTCTATGGAATGGTAAGGGTACCACACAAGTGGGAAAAAACGTAAGGATGGAATGAGGAGGTGGACTCATCACACAATGCACATGGAAACACATGTAAAAGAGCATAACTCAATTGTGCGGGGTGAGTGCACTGTTCGCCATGTTATATCGTCACCCGATGTGCACGGGTGTCAGGTGAGCGTGAAGACAATTTTCGAACACGAATGGCAAGGAAACAAGGTAAATAGAGAGAGCGTTTCATTGCTAGCACATAGGAAGGATCAGTTACGACGACATTCCAAATGGTTTCACAGCGTTTTCAATTTTAGCTGATGGTTCTTCAATATTGTGCTAGCTATTGCAAAAGAAGGCGTCGAACATGGATAGGTTCCTTAGAATCTGGCACCTCGCTATAAAGTCGCCTCATTGGAGCCGATAAGGAACACCGTACCATCTTAGAGGTAACAGCTAAGCTGATAAGCAGAGCAGAACAATCCCTTAACGTGCTTTGTCGCTCTACGTTGCAAAACATCAAGCACCGTGAGATCTTGCTTCGGAAACGCCTGCCAGGCCTAGATAACGTGATCCACACAAAGTCCCACATAGATGTCAAACATCTGAGAGTAGAGGAAAGGGTCAAACAGCTCGAAAGGTCTATGCTGAAGACCGACTTGTTGGTTTCCGGTCTGACAACTTTCGGAATGCTTCGAGCAGTCGATGTTATTCCGTACTTGTATCCCATATTCACGATTCTGGGGAACCACACACAGGACGTGGTATCCAAGCTAATACATGATTTAGCTATACGGGCTGAAGTGGACTAGGTTCTTGAATGAGTGCATAAAAATGAAGGGCGTAAGCAGTACGCCGGCACATCGTACCGACGCTTCGCAACCATGCGGCTAACACCTACCGCGATTTTGTGCGCACCTACGCGGATCCGAACCGGTGACCTCCGGATTACGAGACAGATTCGTAATCCTTTCGGCCCCTGACAGACCGTGCATAAGCGCTATCCAATTCCCGTTTGAGTGCTTCGTGATCTCATAGGTCGTCAAATTCTCACCATTTCTAAGGGTTATCATCAAAAAAGTAAGAACTTTAAAGCGATCACAAGCGAAGGGAATAGGTGCGGACCCAGCATTGACTATTGTAGGAGTTCGCGCCGGATAAGGATCGGATTGAACAATGAAATTCGAACTCTAACTTGCATGCGCCGCTGGTTCAGGAAACCCGATGAGAGAATCCCCGGTACTGCAGCTTTGAAGTCTGCGCAAGAGGGTGCGATGATCCATTTACTCGAAGACAGGAAAAGTACAGGTCAACAGCAATCTTCGCTATACCGCAGTTCGCGATTTCTGTCGAACTGCCGAGAGCATTTAGCTGGTCGGTAAAGCATACGCAATGTAAACGAAAAATATGCTGCTCTGGTGCTATGGTGTTGCAGGGTTCCAGATGGTACCGAGAAGAGAACCACTTGGTGATCGGTTGCAGGTTCAGAACCACCACTGCCTACAATAGTTGTAGCGACAAAACTATGTTGAAACGTAGTAGGCACCAGTTGCACATGCCGGTATTTAAAAAAGACGTGCGATGAGTTGCGCCAGCTTTGATTTTGCTACTTTCAGCGCCCTCTGCCGAGTGGTGTCGACACTAGAAGGTATGTAGATGCATAGGGAAAGCAGTACCCTCAACACGGGGTGACGTGATTAATGTCTGGAATCAGAGTGCTGGGTGTGGGCGTGCAACATAAGCTGATGGCACGCTGGAAGGTGAGAGCACACTGCGTCCGTAGAGAAATGAATGTAAAGACGATGGTGGTATTTCTTGACTTGAAGGCCGCCTTCGACCCTGTTGATCGGATCAGCTTGTGACACTGTCTATCGGTGAAGGCAGTCCTTGAAAATTCCCTTCCATTCAGAGGTCTGTCTACCGTGACTTCCGTGGTCGAGTAAGAGTATACGGAAAGTTGGCTGAGTTCCGCACGACAAGTGATAGAAATGATCATGAACGATGCGGACAGTAGCTTGGATAATGTAGCCAAAATTCAGTAAGCTTACTGAGGTTTTGTGCATCAGAATACACGAAGAAAGGTTTCCTGATCTCAGCAGTGAGCCAAAGGAAGTATGGCTTGGCAAAGAGACAGTGCCGACCATTGGATTGCCAGCGGTCAACCACTTTTCTTGTGTATTACTGCTGAGTGGCTTAGATGACAGTTTACTCAGCCCATGGCCAATTCACTTTGCACTAGTATGTGGATTTCTCCTTGCTTTCCCGCGCATGTTACCAGTGCAGTGTTCGAATGGGATCCCCTTTGCTTTTGCAGCTCTGATGACAAATGTACCGAGTGGGTATTGTTATAATCGCGGTTGATGGGGTGAGAGGCCTCAGAACAAAGACTTCATCGCACCGGACAGTGTATTGCCCAAACGTCGTCACGAGAAACAGACATGGTTGCCGACAATATAGGGTAAGGTGATGAAGTGTCAGGTACGCCGCCTCGTATGATCAGCAGCCTCATATATACGAACCGCAGTAAAGCAGTTCACGGTCAGACATGTGGGATAGCGTTGTACTCCTAAAATACCGCATCGCTTGGCGTAAGAATATTGGATACACCGGAGGTCAGTTAACTGCTTCCTGTGAAGCAACCAGTAGCGGCAGGGAATATGTTAGCCTTAAGTTGAGTAGCTTGTTGAACTTTGTAGCCATGAGATCGAAGCAGCTACAGCGTTGTCTAAGAGCAACAGATCAAGGATATAGCGCCACTGCTCCTAGTCATGATACCTCGTTTCGCGTCCGCCATGCACATGAGATTAAGTCCTAGCTATAGTGTGCATACAGTACTTTTCCAAGCTTCGCTTTACTCGTTTGCGTTCGCTACACAGATTTGATGGAAAACACGGATGAAAAAGGATAAGTTTCGGTGACGTTTTCAGTTTGATGATGTAATTCAGCACTACTCGAAGAAGTTTCATCATCATCATTCATTATACACACGTTCGCTGCAGGTAGAAAAGACCTCAGCTATTGTGTCGCAATACAAAAGAAAAATATGAAAGACAGGCACCTCGACTGAGTCAGCAGTAACGGAGGGACATCGCAATGAGGTTGGACCCTACCGTGATGCGATGGTTTGCGTGCATCAGAGCTCTACTGAACTATGCCGGGTGGTGCTTTTTGCATCTTCAGAACAACTCATACCAGATTGGTTAGTGAGTAGAGGCCAGACAAACTCAATCTCCTGGCCCACCAGATTGGGAGTTGGAATGAGTGTGGCTCCTTAATCCTTAAAACGGACTCCTTGTGGTCCACTACCAAAGCTGCTTCATTGCGGTCAGGTTTTTGGATAAAGGGCTTTGATTGAAAACCCCAATCGTTCTCCCGTCTGGGCCTGGGCAAGCTGACAGTATCCTGCCCACGCAATACTATGAATCTTTCCTCGAAAAAGTTTGCTTTATTATAGTGCATGGAATTCGGATGAAAGGTGGTTCTCCTCTGAGTGGCGGGCTTAGTCGTAACACCGAGTAAACTACAGACGGAGCTCCATTTCGAAGCAGACATTTCACATGACTTACATCAATGTTCTAAAGCCAAAAACTGTAGAATAGTGACAACTGGAGGAAGCCGACCAGCTTGAAAAACTTAGGGTTGTTGCAGCTGCGATAAACGATTAAGGGGAAAACGTTGAATAGACGAATGAAGCAGTAGCAGCAAAACATAAGTAGGGACCGCAAAGTTTAGATCCATTTAGCACTGCGTTATTAAAACTACCTAGAGTGACCAGAATGCACCCGCTTGACGGCTTCATGTCGATCTCGAAGGCGCTGACGACTGGCCTTATCTGCCAATTTGTGAGCCAACTGCTCCCTCTTGGAAGGAGAAGGAATCCGAAATGCAGGTGCACCAGAGACGATCAGCGGAGTGACAGCTCCATCGTCCAGTCGACAGGGAGTTGAGTCCAGCTCACCCCACGTCATGAAAGGAGACGCGCCTAAAGCAGATGGAGCGGGAGACGGGGATGTGTCGAGAAATTTATATCCGCGCATCTGCGGAGTGCCGAGGGCAGACGGAGCCTCTTTGCCATCAGGACCTACCTGACTCTAAGTTGAGAAACAGAAATAAGGTATGAAACCAATGATTGTGGAACAAAATCAAAGTGGAGAAAGACGAACAATATAATGAGATCATTCATATGGTAAAAGTGAGATATATTGTGCAACAGCGGGGAGAAGTAAGAAGTTGAAAGCCCATAGGCTGGTCTTCAGGTTAAAAAGCAAAGAATTGCCTCGTAGATATAGCCTGCAGAATGCAGATGTACAAACGATCACCAGTAAACACGGAGGTGAGAAATGCTCTCACCTATTATGCCGCACTGCAATTCAAGTACGGAGTCGTGAGAAGCAATGCGAGGAAACAAAACAGATGATAGTATGCTATGTTTATGCATCAGATGGTGGTTGGAGGGCAGGTGAGCGACAGAGGAGAACAATGAAACTAAAAAGACCAATAATATTGAGATCTGCTCTTCGCCACATCAACAAGTGTACCCACCCAAACGTGAACCGCGTCTTTCGGGCCCTAACCCGACAGTGGCGGAGTACCAACGGAAGCCAATTTTGTAGTGAGGGTCCCATTCATCCAGAAAAAGTCAACCGCTGGCCTCCTGTTCTATCCACAACCCAATCGCGCAGATAGCGCAAGTGGTGAGGTGAGAAGGGCTTGTATTCGTAACACACGAACAGGCACAGGAGCCTGATGCATGAAATAACGGTGCCAAGCGTTTCACTCGCTCTTACTGCTCAATGCCCACACAGTGTTCCCACCATACGTAAAGCAAAAATGCGAAATCACTAGTGGTCGGACTTCACTAGCCTTTCATTCCTGCAGCTCCCATAGAGTACGTTTTACTACCGTACAGCAGAGCTGAACGGACGGTTGCATTGTAGACTCTACACTTCAGGGCGATAGTGATGTGCGGGCGTCATAAGTGGGGAAGTTGAGCAAAAGTGCTTCGAGAATGTTCCACAGGGGCTGATAAAGTTACCTAGGTAGTCGAAATTCGGAACGATTTCTAGTTGATCCCCAGGGGGTGGTCTCTGCCAATTTTGGAGGGAACCCATGCAGTTGGAGTATACAAAGTACAGACCAAAACATTTGACAGACAGTGCTATTTCATCCACTGCTGCTTAGCATGTTTGGAAGCTGTCACAGAAATAGGGAAATATAACCTGCACACCCCAAGTCAAGAACACAAGCTGATGGAAGCAACTACATATCTTTCAATTCGTGTTCAGTGGACGTCAGTTCCATGACTGTCAATGGTGAAGTCAAAAATAAAAATTGACAGCGGGCATCACTCTCACACCGCTAGAGATATTGAACGGCGACGACAGTATGTCATAAACCCACACACAGCTTGAACTACGCGCTCGAATAATGTTTACGTATTGCTAAGGTATACCGTTGCAAAGTATGCAGTCCAAAAGTAACATCGATCCACCAAGAAGAAAGTAACTTCAAAGTCGGGAAACACAACTGTTGTGGGTAGCTAATATAAGTGGCAGTGCTACAACAATCGAGGTAAAGAGGTGATCAATATAGTTTGAATTTAGAAGAAAGTAGGCGATGAAATTCAGAATGATTCCTCAATAACTGTCGTATACCAAGAGCCATGACTATTTCGTCAAACTTCAACTACATCCTGCATCAGCCAGTGCGCAGCACGGCAGATAAGGAAAAACATGCTACTGCAGATGCTGCATTTCTTTTCCACCTGATTTTTCTACACCCCTCCAACTCCTCAATTAGTAAGCTTTGCTCTATGGTTCCCAGTTTAATTGATAGCAGCCGCAATGCCACTGGAGTCATACCATCTGCAACTATTTTCCCACCGGACGCGTATCAGCAGCAACCCCTTTTATTCATGGTGTGATAAGTGGCGGAACCTACAAATTTGCCGTTGTCTTTGCCTCTTGGAACATCAGTTATTTTACGGTATCTATTGCGGACCTATAACTTGTGTTGTTTTATGTTACCAGTTTTGTTTTACTGAACTGCATCCCACTTACCAATGTTACCCTACTCTGCCGATTTTTTGAAATCGCTTCAAAGTGCGGCCCGGGAAAAGCCATCTGTCGATTGTGGTCATAAGAACACTTTCCAACGGATTGCGAGAAAACATCATGGCAACATGAGGGAACATCGCACTGATTGGAATGTTGGTCTCCGACATTGCTTGTTGCAGAAAATGCAAATACCGCTCATCATCGCCAGCGATGTGCGTTCATTGCTGAGAAAAATCACCGAAATTACAGCTATCATACAAGGAAATGAATATAGAAACACAGCTATTAGTACGTTACAAGAAAGCAGGTTGTACTCAGATACTGAAGATGGATTCATTAGCATCAGTGGATACCGTGCGATTAGGTCCAATCGCCCAGGTAAGTCAAGGAATCATAATGGCTGCGTCATCACGGAGGTTAACCAACTCTGGTGCAACTCAAACAATAAATTATTCGCTCACTACAAGTTCTATTAGCTGTCAATTACTTGAATGCAAGCCTAAATTTCTTCATGACTATCAATCGTTTGTTATCGGAAACTTCTACATTGCCCCTGATACATCATCATCCGAACTTAGGCTTTTAGTTGAGCAACTTTCAGTGGTATGCTAAAGATTTACCCAACCATTTACAGTAAAACTAACTATGCTGCATTGACGAAACAAAAATTCAGGACTATCCGACGACGCACTTGCTCGGCGTAAAATATCGTACGACTTCAAGCAACGCTTTGTTCAACCGATTTTTCCGTTTTTACAGATGAAGTGCTATCGCTTCATAGCGATCAGCTCACGAGTTACGTAAACTTTTGCTTCCACCTATGTTGCCCTATCGAGACGAGTTAATTGCAAGCAGATAGATTTTCTTCATACCTTCTGAAACAAATTCGAAGGAAAAAAGAACGTACTAGTAAGCTCAAAATGACCACCCGCATCAAAACATGACTTTTGCAATTAAAGTTGAAATAACAAAGTTAGATAGTTTATACATTGAAACGGTACTCGGAAACCGTAGCTGCCGGGATCTCTGAGGACTTTTGAAGCAAATATGTGGTAAAAGTACCATGGAGTACTGCAATCGTGGATTTTGACAAACACAATTCTGAGTTTAGTTCCTCTCCGTGGAGCGCGTTTCCATTACCCTTCTTCACAAGCTCAAGCCCAACGGCCTATTTGATCACGGTAACGTCAAGAGAGAACTTAAGAGGCTAAATTCAAATAAAATTAGTGGAACTGATGCTTCATTATCTGTAGTTTCTAAGCAGTGTGCCGATTGCCTCACATTACCCCAGACTGAGATTTTTGACAGGTGTCTCACGACCGGTGCCATCCCCGACATCTGGAGGTCAGCCAGAATGACGCCACTTCCTAAAAAGAAATCTCGAAAGTATCGACCAATTGCTTGTACTTCCGTGATCTTAAGTCCTCTAAAAGCTACTAGTTCTAAGGGTTTCCACAGCTACTCGTGCTGACGATATCTGCCAGTTTGCGTTTAGACCCCAAACGCACCACGCTAGATGCTGTCTCGTACCTTGTGCATTCCATAGCCTCGGCGCCGGATAAAAAGTACAGGTCCGTACGGCTTCTTTTGCTTGACTATTTAAACGCATTCGGTAGTCTTGACCGACCAGTACTGCATAACTAACTTTATTTGAACGGAGCTCACCCTGATGTTGGGAACTTGTTGCGCGACTATATCACTGATCGTACGCACTTTACGCAATTGAACAGCAAAAGCTCCTCTGTGCTCCGAGCTCACTGTGGTGTTTGGCACGGTGCGATCCTCTCACCCATTTTATTTTCTTTACAGGTCAAAATTCTCCTCATACCATCGGTATTCACTGGATGCAAGTATGCTGACGATGTTGTCTTCGGATGCAGAGCTCCCCCCATTGTGATGCATACGCTTCAATGTGGTTTAGACGAACTCGTGAGTTGGTCATCAACCAGATCTCTTAATGCTTTGAAATGTACTGATGTAAAAGATTCATTTCTCCACGTTGATCAAGTGTGAATAATTTTAGATGCCTCTTCTCTTATAAGTTTGGAGGACAAAACCATTCCTATTTCGCCCATTGTCAAACATTCCGGTGTCTAGCTTTCACAAAACCTCTCTTGGTTCATGCACGTTTTGGAAAACTTCCACAAGGACAGAAGATTATCTTTTCAGGCTTGCCGACTTAGGAACTTCGCTGCAGCATGTGGTTTACTTTTGTGAGCTGTAACTGCATATATACGACGCACCTGGTTGTACTGTTCCCCCAGTAACCTTCCCTGGACTACTGCAGAAGGACTATGTTTTCATTGTGTGATCGATCAAACATATTTCCAGATGTGGTGGCTTGCTGAGGGATTTCATGGTTGATTTCATGGCTCCAAGCATTTCGACGATTGCATTAATTCTTTTTTTAATGCATTAGGTGACCGCTTTCATCAGCTACATAATGCTCTCACAAACGTTATCTGCCTCTCACAAGCGCACAAAATCTAGGATTTTATTTGCCCGTGCTATCTCGTTTAGTAACAATCTTGCCTTGTTTGTCATGCTTTCATGTTGACCCTAAGAAAGTCACAAATGCTCTGCGTATGCGGCTCCATACCTTTGTCTATTTAATGCTGCAATCTGTATGTATGTATTGGTAACTCGTTCCATTAATTCAGTGTATCCGCAGTGATAGCGTAACTGATGATAATGCACCCATGTAGGTGTATAAAGTCTATTTTGACTTGACATCACTTCAATTGATAAGACCACGCTGTCCCACTTCCCTTGCGGGGTGCAACTTTCGCACTGTAAGACAAAAAGATCAACGGGCTGCACTCGCACACACGTTGAACACACTGGGTATTGACGTGTTTCGTGTCAGAAACCAGAATCAATTACCCTAAAGGGATTGTTGAACCAGCTGCGCCCGACTTGTTCACTCGCTATTGGCTACGCGTACCCGGAGACGCTGATACGGCAGTCATTCGTTGGTATGGGTATTGTTCTTAGCTCCAAAACTGAGTCATTGTTGTGTGATTGGATTTCCGTGAGCAGCC